TCTGGCAATCCGCACAGTTGATTTTATAAACTATGGCTGATCTCTCGGCGGTGGGGAGCTGATCTTTGGGGTGCATCACCTTAGCTCGTATGGTTTGGGTGGGTTTGTGGGCTACCTGTATGTTGTGGGGTGCCAGAAGCCTGGCTGTAGCCTCTGACACGTTTCTGATGTACGGTAGTGACACGCGTGTGACCCGTGTCTGGAGGTCCTCTCTTGATTGTCCATTATGTAGTCCGGGTGCCATACTGTGTCGCTTAATAAACCTCGGGGGATACCCATTCATTCGGCATATGCGGAATAGATGTTTTCTTTCTTCTGCCTTAGCTTCCATAGTGCTGCAGTGCGACTGTACCCGTTTGAACAAGGTCTTAATACAGCTGGCCTTATGGGAGGCCGGATGATTACTATGGAAATGGAGGATGCGGTCCGTATGAGTGGGCTTCCGATAGACCTTGGTGTTCAGAGTTCCATCTGGGGAACGTTGGACCAGTACGTCCAGGAAGGCTATCGAGCCCCGGACCTCCTCCTCCAACGTAAACTTAATGTCCGGATATATTGAATTTAATACTCCCATAAAGCCGGCTAAATGGTCTCGTTTGACGACCGCAAAAGTGTTGTCAACGTACCGTGCCCAAAACTTGGGCTGTTGACGGGTCATAGCCTCGTGTTCTAATTGTTGTAGAACCGCAAGGAACAATATGGGCGGGGGTTATGAATCTAGGGCACAATTCCGGGAGACGGATAAACAAGACCAAAATAGCCGTGAGGCTTGTAAGGATACTGAAAGTGATAATTGCCCACCCCCACTCGTAGAGGGAAGTCGTGTGTGGGATGGTGGTGGGGGGGAGGCTATGAGCAATGAAGGCAAAAAGATCTGGACTCCCAACTCTGAAACAACTTATGACAGAATGCAGATTAGTAATGTGGGATGTAGGCTGGAGACCCAACCCGATCAGCTGGGGCCTATGACACTCTCCAGGAGCCGGAAGCAGACACTAAACAGCTGTATATAAGACTCTCCCCCGGCACTTACCTTTTAACCCTGACGATGTCAATTGTGTTTGACGAAAGCTCGGTGGATTAAAATTCTATTTTTATAGATACTCTCTTGGTGATCATTACTATTTGACTAACATGAATATTCCCAAGAGTCATGTTTTTGTTTTTATTTCCATATATATATATATATATATATATATATATATATATATATATATATATATATATATATATATATATCTCACCTTTTTGTTTTTAGCATTCTTAAGAATATATATATATATAAATATATAAATATATAATAAATAAATGTTCCATTAGTATATATTGTGACCTGATATATTGTTTCCAAGAAAGCAGCTCCAAATCAGTAAATCCAATTGGCTCAAGAAGAGAGGGTCCCAGCTGGCACACTCCCCATAGTTTTGTAGATAGTCTTTTTGATCCAGCTATCATTTGTAAATCTTGATAGCCAGAGTCAAGAAGTCCCCAAATGGGGCTCTTGTGGGGGACATGCTGCTCCATCCAAAGTAAGCCTCACATCCATCCTGAATCCAATTTTCTCCTTACCAACAGCACCACTCTTAGTCTGAATTTAATTTTTTTTTTTTGTTGTTGTTATCCTTCATCGTGCTCAAGTTTCGGAAGGTGCTGATTGCTCCTGTGGAATTAGATAAAAGAAGCAGTAGAGCTGGGTGGCTCAAGTATAGTGATGGCACCCCGTTCCAAAGTTCTAAATAAGTTCCAAATAATCTCCTCAATAATTTGCGATAGATGTTGAGCAAGAGGATATGATAGAGCTTTATGGGACACCATAGCACCACCATCTGGGTGAGTCCTGGCAATAAAGACCAGAATCTCTGCAAACCAATTTCCTAAGGCCCAAATTCTTCAGATGTCCAATTCCCTCAGAAAGATAACCATGGTCAGTGGTATTGAAAGGTGCCAAGAAATCCAGGAGAGGTAGCAAATAGCAGTCCTTCAAAGTAGACCAGGTCAGGAAATAGGAACTACTGGATGTCTGCTTTATTGTTATAAAAGATAACAGAAAGCCTGACACAATTTTTCTTTCATTCTCTCTTATACCCAAGAGAATCAAGGTGGGCAATCTTGACTGTTCATCAAGTCCTGTTTTCCTGGCCAAGCTCATGTTTTCCCAAAGGCTGCTACCTATCTTCTTCAGGGCTATCTCAATATTCCTCCATACCAGTACTGTATTTCTCCTCACCTGGTTTCCAATGTACCTCATTCACTGGAATGGGCAAAGCCTTAATTGAAGTGGGTTTAGATCAGGAGTGTCAAACTCGCTGTGTTACGTGACGTGTCGCGATGTATCGTGACTTTTTGCCCCTTGCCGGAGCTGTAGTGGGTGTGGTTTCCACGTGATGCATCTTGCTCGCAGGCCGACAGTTTGACACCCCTGGTCTAGAAGATAATCACTTTCATTGTCCACCTAGAACAGCACAGTTATAGCTTTCTCAACCATTTTATTCAGAAACGGAATATTAGACCCTGGCTTATAATTACAAAACTCTTTGAGGCGCAAAGAGGACTTTTAAATAAAGGTCACATAACTTTCTTTTTTAAGTAAGTGGCAAGACTTTCCTTGCTGAAAAAGTCATTAATCATGTCTGGTAACTGTGGGTGATTCCAGTGTGACTAATTAGTTAGCCAGGTGGGGAAAGAGTTGAGCAAACAGATGGTGGGCCTTAACTTTTCCACATCCTCTGTCCACATCAAGATGGATAAGCAATTAAAAAACATCCATATGAACAGGACCTATAATCTGCCCCAACACTAGAAATTCAGTCTTTTCTACAAAAAATGAGGGAAAATTGCTCTCAGCATGCTTCTAGCTGTTCTGATTCCCTTCCCTCAACATCTTAAGGGAAGAAGGTATTGAAAAGCCTTTGCAGAACTCTTTGGTGCAAATGCAAGAGAGGAAGAGAAGAGGTAAGCCCTGTCTGCCACATTCACTACCACAAAATAGGATTGCAAGCAGGCCCTGAGGAGGACTCAAATCCATGTTAAAATCAAATTGTGCCCGTATTTTCTGCAACAGTACTCCAGCCTACTATCCATCTGCTTCATCCCTTTCAACAGTCTGGTGAGCCAAGATGTCATGTGATGTCTGTTGAAGGGAAGAGGGCATTTAGGAACCATCTAACTCAGGGGTGTCAAACTGCTGGCCTCTGGGCCAGATGTGTCAAGTGCCCACCGCAGCTCCAGCAAGGGGGGGAAAGTCATAATATGTCACGAGACGCGACGGGTTTAACACCCCTGATCTAACTCCAACTGTCTTGCTAAGCAACCAAAATTTTGGGTTCAATTATGGACATAAGTCGAGGACTACGTATATACCCAAGGAGCTCCATGTTTCACGGTTGGCCATGTTTATCAGCACTGATGACAAACTAGGCTGGAAATTGTGAAGCTGCCTTCAGAAAAGTCTCTAGATCTATCAACCCACTTGGGTTAGACCATCTGAATTAATTAATTAATTAACCCAGCAGAGATTTATAGCACTGTCAATATAAAATCAAACAGAGATCTATCTATTCATGACAACAAAAACATACCTAGCTTCCATAATTTTAGAGAATGCACCAGTCAAGCGCAACATTAGAGAACTCCTGGCAAACACGTTAAAATCCTATGTATGATCAGCTGTATGCATGGGACCAAGATTTTTAGTTCTGAAAAAAAATACATCCAACACAAGATTATATGTGTGCATTTGTGTGTGTGTGTGTGTGTGGTAACTCAAAAGAATCAGGCTGCTTTAACGGGGCAGAGGACTTTGTATCTGAGGGTAAAAAACAAAATTCTGGTCTACCCTCTGGATGCTGAAAGGATAAAGGATTAACTGAAGGAGATGCTGGGATAAGCATAACCTTTGGCTATGGGACGTAAGGATTGCCTAGATCAGGGGTGGGGAACCTTGGCTCTTTTATGACTTATGGACTTCAACTCCCAGAATTCCTGAGCCAGCAAACTTGGCTCTTTTATGACTTGTGGACCAACTCCCAGAATTCGTGAGCCAGCCATGCTGGCTCAGGAATTCTGGGAGTTGAAGTCCACAAGTCATAAAAGAGCCAAGGTTCCCCACCCCTGGCCTAGATGGAACTAAGGGGAGGGGGGAAGAGGCACAGAGATTTGAAGAACGGAGGAAGGTGAATAGAAAACTTCAGTACTGTCACCAGTGTTAAGATGTTGATGCAGTGCCAGAGAGAAACATCTACAGTAGTCCATCTTGCTATCATCCCTTCCCTCCAAAATAAGAGAGAAAGCCTTGCAGTCAGTATTCCCATCCCTCTTTGCTTCTAGAAAAAGTATAAGGCTTGAGAAGTGGAGTAATTAGAGGGAGGCACTGCATACCACCGAATGCTTTTCTTGTCATGAGCCTCTGCAGGAAAGGATGCCATCGTAAATGGCCTTTCCTACCCTGAGATTCTTCTCTTAGTCTAAATAATAAAATGGCTCTGGATGCACTAACATGAAGGAAGCCTGCACGAATTGAGCTTTTTGTCCTTTATCCTTTCACAAGGATAATTTGTTGCCTGGATCACTCCCAGTGCCTCTAATGTGCACATGGCTTGCTGCCTCTGCAAAGGGGCTGAGAGCGATAGAGAGTGTGTGTGTTTGACAGTTTGGTGCAACAGGAGTGTGGTGCTTTGTTGAACATAGCAATTAAACATGCTGCTTTTTCTATCTTAAAGGAGGGAGGGAGGCAGCACACATTCCTAGTTCTGCTAGGCTCATAGAGGAGGCTGATTATTAATGTTATCCTCTAGAACCGGGGTAGGCAACCTGGGCTCTTTTATGACTTGTTGACTTCAACTCCCAGAATTCCTGAGCCAGCATGAGGCTCTAGAGGCATCTTTAAGAAATGAAAAGAGCACTATTAGGACAAATTTGCTATTGCCTAGAAAGGAATGTTTTTGACACACTACCATTCTGCTTGCTGATGACATGGATTGTTCTAAAATGCTTTCTTCTAGATTTCTGCACAGCCCTGCCGCACCACTCCTCTTATTCCTCCCCCACCGGAGAAACGCAAGAATGTTCAGACAACTGCGCCCATTAAAAGTAAGAAATTGTCTTGCAAGTTGGTGATATTGAGGATCAAAGAATGCTAAATCTGAGCTTTACTGGCTTGGCAGTAAGTGGCTTCTTGTGCTCTGGAGGACAAAGAAGAAAATGCTAGACATTAAATAATACTTGGGTTTGTTTTTAGGTCGTGAGTTAGTGAATTGGCAGGAAATGGAACTTCACCAGAGATGGGCCACCTGTGGCCTTTCAGATGTTACTGAACTCCAGCAGAAAAGTTCACAATTCTTAAAACATTTCAAAATAACACTTGCAGAGTGGAGTTTTTTGGAATTACAGTTGTTCTAATTAAATTAAATTGCAGTCTGATCAGTAATATGCGCTCAGGCATATCTTTTTTTTCCTGAATTTAGTAGAACTTGTTTCTAAATAAAGACGCGTAAACTCAGGCTGTCAGGCTGAAGCTTCCATTTTATTTTGTACATTTGCTCATCAGGTGAAAAATCCAAACTTTTTTTTCCCTGAAAATAGAAATTCCTGTTTGTATGCACAACCTGATAATGCAATCCTGACATTTTTTTTCACGATCCAGAATTGGTCACAGCATATCTAGGAGCAAGGATCTGAGAGGAAATGTCATTAAAGACACATTTTTCTGTTTCCTCTTCAAAGATAAATGATAGAAGGAACTGCCGCTGTTCCAACTTTCAACTAATGTGGCCTTCTGGCACTTAGGAGAAAGCAAATAGAAGAAAAGCCCACAGTATCGAACTACCACAAATGAGGAACCTGATGCAGATGCCTGTATGATTTCATCTGAGGTGAAAGATGATACAAAAACATCCATATTCTTGCATAAAATCAAAAGTACAGGATTGGGAGCACAGAATAGCTTGCAAATTTGGCCAAACCATTTTAGGCAGATCAGGGCTCAAATCAGAACCTTTTGATTATTCTGGATTTCCTCCAAGGCAGAGTCCAGACCGATCTTGCAGGGACAGTGAGGCAAAGGTGATAGACCTTGCCTCTCTCTCTCTCTCTCTCTCTCTCTCTCTCTCTCTCTCTCTCCTTCTATTTAGTCATATGCCCAGCATTTTTCTTCATCTTACTTCTCCTTTGTCACAGCCAATTCAAGCACAATACAGGTAGTCTTAGATTTACCATTCATTTAGTAGCACTGAAAAATGTGACTGATGACCATTTTTCACACTTATGACCATTACAGCATCCCCATGATCATGTGATCAAAATTCAGATGCTTGGCAATAGGCATGTATTCATGATGGTTGCATGTCCCAAGGTCATGTGATCACCTTTTTGCAACCTTCTGACAAGCAAAGTCAACAGGGAAACCAGATTCACTTAACAACCGTGTTATTAATTTAACAGCTGCAGTGATTGACTTAACAACTGTGGCAAGAAAAGTTGTAAAACGGGGCAAAATTGATTTATCAACTCTCCTGCTAAGCAATGGGCTCAATTGTGATCATAAGTTGCAGACTACCTGTATATCCAGGCCCTCTACCCACCCAGTCTTCCCTGTGCATTCCTTCTGTTAACTTTCCCTTAAGTTCCACTCTTCCCTTTTCCCCCACTGTCTCCAACCCTGGGACATCTCTGCCAAACATGCATGGTTTGATCCATTCCTGGAAAAACCACCTCTGTTTTGTTCAATGTATCTTGGGGCCGAACAAAATAGGAAAAAAGTCCCATAATAAATACTATTTATGTCCTGTCCTTCCATGCAGAAAACCAGATTGCAGGTAGATATTTCCATTGTTCCCTTTAAAAAAGATGGGAAAATAAAAAGGCAGCTTTCTAAAGCGCAGAAAGTATTGTCTTTATTCTTTAAGCACCAACAAATAAGAGTGGTCTAGATAAGTATAGGCAGTCATTTGGAACTGTTCAGTACATTTAAGTTTTGAGGACATGTGCCTGGCTCTCTTGCAAACAGCTGCTAGGAGTGGAGAATTCCTATATAGAAAAAGGTTGCCTTGGTGTAAAGGAATACTCACAAAATATCCTTTTACCAATAGGTAAAATGCTTCCAGCCACTTCTTTCCCTGTATCTTTCCTTCTTCATAATCTATATCTAGGTTTTTTTTTTGGGGGGGGGGGAAGTTGGTGAGTTTATTTTGGACTATAGAGGTCCTGGGGCAATTTGGATAACTAAAGATGATGCTAGAGGCTGGTATTCTGATTTTCAGTAGCCAATTTTCCATTTAATTTTTCATTCTTACTAACAATAAAAATTATGTGGACCAGGAGTCCAGGAAAGAGATGAGCAAAATAGTAGATTACCATGTGAAACCCATTTTTGACAGAAGCAGTGGAATACTCATTGGTGGAAGAATCCATTTCTGTTTTCAGCTTAAATTGATCTGTGAAGCTCAGGAATAGTACATGCTGAGAGTTCTAGTCCTTTTTTAAAAAAAAAAAAACACAAGTTGAGTGCTTTTTCAAAAGCTTGCTAAATCTGTGTATATTAGACACCTGTAAGATCTGGCATATGCTTCAGAACAGACTGGTAAGGTTGTTCTTGAACAGCTTCTTCTACAGAAGTCAGATGTTGGGTCTTTCCTGTAGCCCAGCTACAAAGGCCACAGAGTGTCTACAACTGGAGAGCAGAGGATGTTCCTGCATTTACCAGAAGTAGACAATAGAAACTGAGCAGATCTCAGCCCTTGTCCACATCATTATCCATCTTATTGACAAGATGTCCTGCATCATGTTCACAGTAAAAAAATGCATTAGGAGAAGATGGAGAACACTAACGTTGGTACAGCTAAATAGAAGCAGCCTTGGGTTTAGGATCAGATGCAGTCAGTGCTTCTGGATATGTCATGTAAACAGTTATTGTACAGGGGCACATTCATGTTGCAGGCAGGAGAACATGAGAATGACTTCAAAATTAATCAAGTGTTAGAATCAGTATTGTTGGCATTTGACTGCAGAGGGGTTTTTTCTTCTGCAGATAAACAAATGGTATCTTTTTTTCTGCCTTAAATAATCTCCCTCGTAACTATGAAAGACTACCTGAGAGGAATATTTGGTGGGATGGGAAGATAAGAAATAAAACACAGGAAACACAGACAGAGTCTTAAATAAGGCAGTTCAGCATTTAGATTGTGTGCACAAATAAGCACTGCTTATTTGGAGCTTGGCAAATATGGCAGTTTATTGTTGCAAAATACAATAAGGAAGCTATATTCTTCAAGTTGGCTGAAGGAAATAGATGGTAGAAGTCTAATTCATTAACTTTTGATTTATTAAGCACATTGTCCATGCACTGCAAAAGTTCTCACTGATTAATTCCACTCCTTAACAATGCTGGTCATGTAAATGTAGACATTTAGAGCTCAAGGAAAGAGAAGAATGGGTTCGGTGTAGTATTGGTAATCTTGGCTCAGTAATAATGGGAAAGGATCTGGAAAGCCTGGAGAATGTCATTCCCTCCTTGTACTAGTGAGCAGGAATGACCTTAGAGACAGGACAAAGAGACACACCAAGGGAAGATTAGACTTGCAAGATTCTGTTAATGTAACTCAATGGTGTCAAACTGCCGGCCCACAGGCCGGATGCATCATAGCGAAATCGCACCCACCCCATTGCTGACAATGGCAAAAAAGTCATGATACGTCATGTGACATTGCGAGTTTGACACCCCTGATGTAACTTTATGATAAAGTAGAGTTAGATTTTCTGGCTGTATTTCCTGTCTGCTCTACCTTGGAGGACTGACAGCCAGATCTGAATGAAGCTCTTCCCAGATGTATTCTGTTGTTAGTCTTTGCAGCAATAGTAGCTAAAAGTTCACTTTTCTGCAGAAATTGTTGAAAGTGCTTTGGTTGCCTAACTGGGCTATGTAATTAAAACAATGCAACAAGTCAGCATGAGTTTATGTTTCAGTTACATTCACAAGAAATCTCATTTGTACTTGATGAGTGCTGAAGAATTGGATTTATCATTTCTCGCTCCTGGGAGTGAATGGGTCATCAGCATCTGAGCCGCAGCTGTCAGGGGACATGTGGATTTTAAGTCTTAAGGTCACATGAATAAGGAAAAGGAGTCAATTGCTTTCAGCCAGATGTGAACCTCTGGCTCTGAACCTTTGGCTGTGTACTATTTTCTTCCTTGCTCTATGAAAGCAGTTGCATAAAGAATCAAGACACATTTTTTAGCAATAGGCCTCTTTTCTCTCTTTTAATGTCTAATAAATGAGGCATTATTCAAAAACAATATCTGTATGCATAAAATGAAAAGTATTGCCTAAAAAACTCCACTCCTGCATGGATACTTTCCTATAAAAACATGAAAACACCTTTCTGTGGGATAGACTTCTCCCTTGCTACAAAAAGATTGACGATCAGGAATACTCAAGAGACAGTTAACACAATTTTGCTTTGAGATAAAGGAACCAAGAAAAGTAGTTTAACTACTCTGAAAGCTTCCACAATAAGATTCTTAATGAACTCTGCTGCTGCAGTTGTGTTTTTTTAACCACTCTTTTTTCCTTTGATTTTGTTGCTAAGATATGTCAATTGTTTCCTTTCAGATGCAATTGGAATCCCTTCTGGGTCAGTTTCTAGCACCTCTGCCGAAAGCACAACTTCCCTGGATACCTTGTATACGGGTTCAACAGAGTCAGGTCTCCCTACTGCTACACCCAGCCCCAGCAATACTCCTCCCCCTGTTCCTAGCAGAAGTGCCATCACCATGGCATCCTCCAGCTTAGATATTAGTCCTGTGGTGCAAAGAAAACATGGGAGTGCAAGCAAATCCCCCCAGACCAAAAGGGCTGCTCCACAGCCTCCTGCCCAAGTGGAGGTTTCAGATGCAGGTGGTGAAAAGACCTCAGAAGCAGAGAAGACCACACCAGCCATATCTACAGGGATAGAAAACATTGATTCTCTTTGCCTGGAAGAGAAGAAGGCAGCCAATGTAGAGGAGGTGGAGCAAGAATCACCTGGCTCGGTAACAACCGTGCCAAAGACAATAGGGGCTGAGTTGATTGAGTTGATCCGCAGAAACACAAATCTCAGCTATGAGCTCTCCAGAGTTGCCATAGGGGTAGTAATTGGGCACATTCAGACTTCTGTTCCAGCCCTTAATAGCATCATGGAGCAGATTCTCATCTCACTGGTAGAAAGCAAGGTAGGAGACATGTTTCTTTTTGCTTCTGTAGAATATATATTAAGGCAGCAGTCCCCAGCCTTTCCAGCTTTCTGGACTGGGGGTGGGGGATGGTTCCAAGCAAACAGTTGGCAAGTGAGCGCATATGCAGCTGCATTTACGCAAGCGGAGGGCACGCATACCTACCACTTGCACAAATGGAGCTTTGCGCACACGCACACTCGTCTGCTCGCGCAAATGGAAGTGCGCACATATATGCGCTTGCCTGCTGCTTCCATGGCCCAGTTCCAAATGGGCCACGGCCCAGTACTGGGCCAGGGTTTGGGGACCCCTGTGTTAAGGGCCCTGTTTCCTGGCTGTATTGCCAACTGACACAGTGTCTTGCTCCTATGTATATTTAATCTGGATATTCTTAGTGTCTTTAGTGATTTTGCTGTTTGTATTGTTGTAGAATGTTTTTAGTATTTTTAATTGTATTTTTTTTTCTTTTTGAATTATAAGCTACCCAGAATCATTAATTGAGATGGGTGGCTACAGAAAATGAATGAATGAATATATTAAATAAATAAAGCAGTGCCAATTTGGATTGTTTAGGAATTGCTCTGCAACTTGGAAAGATAAGCAAATGTGTTGCTTAGGGGGGGAAAAACCTTGGAATATATGACATTGTAGACCTAGAAAATATGGCTCCTGATATAAGTTGTTTTCTGCTTTCTTCGTATGCTCAAAATTATCCTAAAGGAAAAAAAGAGGCATTTTCCTAGCATAAGGAAAATTTGGGCGACCTTACTATGTAATCCCACATTATATTCTAGAGAAAGTTTCTATTTTGTTTTGCTTTCCTCAGCTGATATGAAATGATATGAAAAAGATTGTCACTTGATGGTTTTGGGAAGAAAAAAGTAAGAGGAGGAGGAAGTGATAATAGAATAAGATCTTCACTGCCTTAAGGGGATTATGGAGGCTGTTAGTTCAGTGTAAGACATTATATAGTGCAGAGGTCCCCTTTTGAGGTCCCCTTTTGAGCACCAGGGACCGGTTCTGTGGAGAGAGGTTTTTCTGCAAACCGGAGGGGGTGTGGTTTCATGTACTGCCTGCATCCCGCGGATGGGGCTTTGCTTTGCACGGACCAGTTTTTGGCATGCCACGGCCTGGGGTTGGCGTCCCCTGATATAGTGCCTGTAATCTCTGTGAAGCTTTATATGTCAAGGCTGTATCAAAAATGGAGATGCTCCTTTCTTTAGCCAGCACTCTGCCTCCCATCTGACAAACTGATTATAAATGGAAGGGCCTTCATGCCTTTAGTTGTGGTTTTCATTTGTACTGCTGTACTTTACATTAATCCAGACTCAATCCTGGATTATGTATATGGTGCTATATAGGTTACCTATAGTAGCACAGTAGTTATCATACTATGAGATATCTCTCATAATTGATCAGGACTTAGCAGTGTTGTATGATCACAATAGATCCATTGGTGCAGGTCACTGTCAGGAAGATCCTCTAATTTTTTAAATAGCAAACTGGAAACAAGATTTGAATGAAGCAAACTTTTGAGATTGGCCAGAGGTTTATGTTTTGTTTTGTTTTGTTTTGTTTTTTCAAATTCATACAATGTGTGGATTGTCATCCCGGAATACTTTTTCCTTACAGGTAAGTTAAATCTGCCCTGGGCAGAATGGGAGCCAAAATATTTCTAATCCTTTTTTCCAAGTGAAATAAGAGATCATCATTGATTAAAGCTTTTCTCTCTTTTGAACTAAATCTCTCACCTTATGTTAGAGAATCATATTATATTCTTTAATTACTTGTATCCCTTTATTCTGTCCTCCTACTTTAAATTAAAAGTCAAAGCGCTACTTTGCTAAATCAATTTTAAAATCCATTACTACAGACTTATTCCCAGTGTGCTCTTTTGAAGGATGAATTGCTCAAGATTTGCCTGGTGGTTCTGTGCATGCATTAGAAAGATAAAGGGGGACAAAATACATTCCAATCTCTAATGCTGTGTGTTGTCTGCTAGGGTACCTAGCACACATTCCCTAGTGGAATTATTACTTTACTTCTCTAATTTACATACATCACCTTAAATGTGGCAGGGATGAAGACGAGCTACCCAAGATAGTTCAGAGACGAGCTAGCCAAGATACTCAGTTCTGATGTATGACAAGAATATAGGAACAAAATTCCAGCGCACCAATTTTCCCCAGTGTTTTGGGCTTCTATTTATCTCCTTCATTAATTTTTACAGTAACATTTTAGTCCAAGTGGCTGATGTAAGGAGAATGGCATTCCACATCATGACAAGGGGCTGAAGGCCTAATAACACATGAAATAAATTCTTGGGGTGGTAGCCATGAGTGTCATCCATGGCTACCACCCCACACATTTCATATTAATACAGAAATATGGCAGACACATAAGAAGGCATCTCCCATCAATCAGCTAAACATGCTAGACCTGCATCCATCCCTCATGTAATAAATGCCCTTTTACGTTGTACCTTTTACAGCTGCATGCAATGCTTAGCATTTGGTGTGTACTGTATCTAACATATATCTGGAGGTAAGATGGAAATGTATCTGCAGATACTAGTATTTATTGAATGTTTGAATAGAGTTTGAAATGTTCACTTCTCCAATTTCATATTATTTTGCCTCCTCTTTCCTCTTTTCTAAGTTTGGTCATTGTTCCTCTATGTAATCCCAACAGTCCTTTTGCCTTCTTCGTCTTAGAAAACTTGGTTGCTATCCAGATTGGCATGGAAGGCAGAGCCGAGACTTGACTTAAGCTCAGTAGACTTTGCTATCCTTTCCTTTAAAATTTGGAATACATTTGCAATTATTTCAGCTGGGGAATAAATTATACAGAAGTTGCATCAAAACTCTCCTTTGAGAAAGTCTTTAATGTTCTATTTCTATGCAACATTTAAATCTATGAGGTCTGGGTGGAGCTGAATGCACAGTCATAATAATGCAGCTTATGCACTATTCTGTTCTTATGAAATATTCCTGTTAGAATACTTCTGAGCATTGCTGCCTGCATGGAAGGAAAACAAACAGGCCTGGAACTGAACAAATAACATGTTAGGAAATACCTATTATAGATTGCCACTCTAAATAAGAGTGATTGTCAGGGCTTTCACATTTGAAGCAAAAGCAATACACCTTTGGGATTAGCAGTCACTGATACCCAATTGAACTGCAGGTACTTTGAGGCTCAACAAAGGAGAAAAGCTGTATGTGCTTGTAACTCATTGATGAAGGTTTGCAATGAACCAAGAGTGATTATTGTCCAATAAATCTGGGGAAAATTTCGATTGCTAGTCCCAAAGATGGTAAAAATGCATGAAAATCAAGAAAGCATAGTAACATAACAAGATGGTGGCAGGCAAGGAGGGTCTCATTTTTTCAAATTCTGCTGCTTTCTGCAAGCATTTGCAGCATTGTTCTGTAACGTGTCTGCTATTCAGTAATAGTTATAATTCCAGAGGTAGAAGAGAAGCATCCTGTAATTACTCCATCCTGTTTGCATAGAATTTTCAAAGAAATGATTCTAGAGAGAAGCTCAGTAAATTGAATTAAGTGTCTGTCTATCTGTCTTGGCACTGTTAAGCTGTGCTACAGGCTTGAGGTTGGTCTGAGATGAAGACACCTTTTCTTGCTTTAATCATACACGTTAGTGATGTGGATGTCAGCAGAGAGGGAGAAAGAAGGAAATCATATACTGCCCATTCTTAATTCCTCTTGTTGGAAGTATCTCCAGTTGTTGTATGTGCCTTTCTAAAGAGTTGTAAAAAGATGCTTATGTTTAAAATGCTCCTTAGCCTTCTGGAGTAATGAGGAAGAAGACTGAGAAAAACATGTAGAACAACTTCTGCAGGAATACAGCCAGCTTGGCACAATGGAAGAAGCATTCCATCTGTTAGTACTGAAAAAAAAAGAGAGAGAACTTTCCCTAAATAATCATATTTGGGGGGGGGGAGAGAAATAAGATGGATTGTTTCCAGCATATTGTTTTCCCCTCCAAATGAAGAAAAGCGTACCCAAAATTGCTCAAGACAGATCTTGGTTTTACTTCTTCTTATAGTTTGTAGCACAGTCAGCCAGATGTTCAGACTGGATTTGGCATTTTTGTCCACCTATTGAGTACTTCCCAAGCACCTGGGTTAGGCAGAGGTGGCTGTTTGGTGATGTTAGAGGTATCATCACAGAATGTAAACTGTTCCCAGTAAAGCTGCCTTTTGTAATTGACTGATGGTAAATTTGTCAATGGTAATGTTCAAGTGGTATTCCAATTGTTTTGAGATTGCACACAAGGCAATCTACCTATTACTATCGGTACTACCTTTGCTTTCTTTTGCCACAGTTGTTCTATTTCTATTTGCAGATTGTATTTTGTTATCTTCTCCAATCCACTGTCCAGACTTTTTTGTCTTTCTTATAGACAGTTGTTAAGTATTATGTGGCAGGAGTGTGTTTATTTGAAGTCTAAAGTCCCAGAGCAATTAAGCTTTTCATTTTCTATTACTTTATCTATTGATTGGTCCCACCAGTTCTAGTAGAATGATATTGTTTAAGACTGTTTCTGAGTGGGTTTGTTTTAGAAAACTGATGGATGAGGGATAACAAGAAATAGATTTGAATAAGAATAGTCATCCCAAAACTAGCAAAGCAACGAACTACTTATAATGTTATTCCAGGTTTTATTGTATTAATTAATTATAAATGCAGTTATTATATTCAAATTCATCTTTAATTCCCTCTAAATAATCATCATCAATGCCGTACATTAATTAATTTTGATGCTGAATGTTTGATGACCACTTAAGGTTTATACATATTAATAAAAGATTTAAGGTTGGTTTTAAAAGCCTAACATGTTTCTTCTAAAATATCCTAGTTTCCCACTTTTTAAATATTTCTGCTGACAGATAGTTTTCAAATATCCTTTGTTAGATTCCTAAAATTACTTGCAGGGATGTGTAAGATTGTATTTTCTGCCATACTCTTGGAGAATAT